TTTCACTTATTGGAGGGAGCTAAAGGTGAATGAATCAATTCACACACATACATACAGACACTCACACACATACACACACTCTCACACACACTCACACAACAAACAAACAGCAACAACATCATCAATAACAACAACAACAAAAAAAAAACCGCGGCGGGGGGGAGAGGAAGATTTAACAACCTCAACTTTTCTTTTTTTGAAGCTCTTACAACAAGAAAATGGAGGGGACACATGTGGGTAGGAGGGGGGAGAGGGAGGAGGGAGGGAGGTTTTGGTGATGGGACACAATAACTAACTACATTGTATATTGACAAAATAAAAAAAATAATAAAAAAATAAAAGTGCAGAAGATAGCTGGAAAAAAATGAAATTTTGTGGAGATTTAAAGAAGACTTGTCTAAGAGGAGAGTAGTTCATTATTAAATGTTTAAGTCAAAAACTGCTCAGAAGAGAACTCACTTTTAAAGCCACTGTTTTCAGGGCATTTCTGAATAAACCCAGCACTCTTAACTGATGAACAAAGCTTAGAAATTTGTGCAGAGTTCATACAGATGAGTACTACCATTGAGTACTGATCTTTCCGTCCATCTTACACTAATTTATTTCCGTTTATATATGTATTTATACATATATAATCTCCTACACAGATGAATTAATATGTTTTCATTTTCTTCCACCATTTCCATTCCCAAGAGGGAGGGTACTGGGGAGAGAGAGAAGAGGCAGAACTTTGAAACCCTCTAATGTTAATATCAATATTGTTTATTGTCTTATTCCAAAACCTGGAACTAATTCAGTTTGGTAGGATTCTACCCACTAGAATGTACCTGTAAACTTCCAAACACTAAAATTATAATGTAAATAAACAGTTAACCTTCAATGTCCCGAACAATTACATAAATGTTTTCATGTCATTCTTATAGTTACGTGCCAAACCCTGAAGAACAACTTGGGAGTCAACAACTAATATTTCCTTTTTAATGCTATACAGTCAAAGATACCATCTTCTTACTGAAGGACTGTATCTTCAGAAATAAAAAACCATTCTTAACCAGGAAAGAACAGAGAAAATACATATGTCTTAAATAAAATATAAAGTACCAATAAAAATCTCCGGTTCTTAGGGTTTTATTTTTGAAATGTATTTTAAATTATGCTGAGTGAAACAACCCAGGTGCAAAAAGAGAAATACCACATGTTCTTGCTCATATGTGGGAACTGAATCCATAAATAAACAGAGTGACAGGGAGAGAGAAAGAAAGAAACAACAATCACAATAATAATACACTGAACTTTTAGAAGGAGAGAAAAGAATTGTGGTTCCTAGAGGTGGAAAAGGGGACGGGAGGAGGAGATGGGGGGCTAAGGAGAAACTGGTTAACAAACACACAGAATGATTATGTATTGTAATGATTAATAAGCTAACATCACACATTGTACACAACTACTGAAAATCAACTTTGTACCCCACAAATATGTATAATAAGTTATCTTTAAAAAATTTTTTTAAATGAAAAAATAAAATTATCACATTGACCGATAATTCAGTATCTTACTTAAAGCTAAAAAAGGGAGAATTATCAATACCAACATCCAGGATTTGATCCTGTATCAGCCAGTAAAAAAAATTAAATATAAATAAAATTTAAAAATAAAATAACATAAAAAGGTAGAATCGCATATGTCCTGTAATTTGAAAAGATTTTTCTTTAAGAAAGGAAAATCATTTTTCAGTATGGAAAAAAAGCTATCACATACAGCTAACAGAAGTCAGCCAAGTCCTAACACCACTTGCTCCTCATTGCCCACAGCATAAAACACAAACTCCTGAGGCCCTTCACATTTGGATCCTAGTCTATCTTTACAGGTAACACTCACTACTTTCTAAACCAAAGCAGCAACTATATTTTATTGCACACTATCAAAATTAAATACTGAATATCAATCAGAGCTCAAATTCGTATAACTGCAACCTTCCAAAGGGCTTCAGAAGTTTTTCAGAAATTGTCTCATTAATCTTAAACACACTTTTGTTTTGTCCAAAAAAATCTTCCCTAAAAGGTAATATGAGAATTCCTTGTATTTCATTATGGTTTGGTTTCCTCAGATTTCTAACCTACCATGGTCAAGGAATCATGCATGCTTGTTAAGAATATACTCAACATACTACAATTTGTGCCGCATATTAACTGTTGAATGATCCTTTACAAGTTTCTGAACTTATATGCTAATCCTGTAAGTCTAAATAACAGGAATAATAACATCTTTTAAGATAACCAGAGGTAACAAAATATAAAACATTATACAAGTAACAGCAATCACTCTTCTAGGGATTAGAAAAAATAATTTAGCAATATCTTAGTATAAATTGGTTTACATGTTGTTTTCTAAAGACCCTGAGGACAAGGGCCATACTATTTTTAATTTTATTATATTTCACCAAAATATGTACTATGGTGCCTTTACTTGGGAATATTGCACTATTATCATGAAACTGAAAGCCAAAAGTTATACCACCATTTAATATATCAATATTAGTAAACTAAATAATAAAATAAAAGAATTAGAATTTGGTATTAATTGTGATTTGATGAAATAGCCACTAATGAGACAAGTTATTTTCCAGTATTCTAGTGAGAAGATAAAGTGACACTCAAGACTTTTAAATATTAGAATGAATACACACTGCTCTTCCCCATCTATCTGCAACAATTCTGTTTATCTTTAAGCAAAACACATTTCCGTCTTACTTTTGATTGAATTTTTAAACCAAAACTAGTATTATAATTCCAATCCATCGGAGATATAAGGCCAATTTTCTTTAAATATATATAACATTTACAAGTCAATAGGAAAAGCCAATAATCCAATTAAATAAAAGCAGCAAAGAATATGAATGACTTACAAAAAAGGAAATACAAATAGCTCAAATATATGAACAGCATAATGATAATATCATCACTACGCTATTATAACAATATTTTTGAGTATTTAATATGAGCCAGACACTGTGTTACAAATACTAACTCATTTAATTCTCAGTGTGCAGAAGTAGGTATCACTATCACCAGGATTTTATAAATGAGAAAAGTTTCGACTAGTCACACAGTGAGTAAATAAATGAGCTAAGATTCAACCCTCAGCAAACTGGTTCCTGAACTAGTGGCTCCTAAGCACTGTTATCCTGCCTCTTAACCTCACTCAAATAATGTGAATTAAAACTACGATGAGATACCAGGATCTCCAAGGTGCAGAACAATAACAATATGTACTCCTATAACATATAGGCTCTATGTTATTCTATATGCACTGACTACCCCTAGAAGGACACACAAGAAATTGGTTACCTCTGGGAAAGGCCACCCTTTGTAACCTTTTGAAATAAAAATAATAATAATAATACTTTACAGGTTCATGTTTACAGCTCTTTGATCATCAGAGACACTTTCACATAAATTAATATTTTTGTTCCCTCAACTACCCTGTGGAGCAAAGTGAGTGAGTATATCCTTAACAAATGTTATCACATCCCCCACTGTGATGGTGCGATATCCTACTTTAAAAAAAAAAAAAAAAAAGACAAGGACTTCAGTTCTTAAATGCTACTGAACTGAAAAACTGTTGTATAAATAAAAATAATAAACATTTTTTTAAAAATCATTACGCTCTCACCAGAATTCATAAGTTTCCAAAGTTGATCAACCAGAGCTTCATTGCATAAGGGAGACTCCATGTTCTTAGTAAATGGTGGGTTCTTAGTCAACATGTTTAGAATCTTATGCCTGAAAGATTAAAAAAAAAGTAATTTTTTGCTGACCATTTGCTGACATGCTATGAGTAAGAGACACCATAAAATATTTTTAAATTATCTATAGCTCCTTCTTCCCTTCTTCCCATTTTCCCTCCTAGGTCTAGCTTTGTGTTCAGTTTAGTTTCATTTCAAAAGACATTATGTTACATCCTAAATATTTACTACTTGGCTTTTCTGGTGGATTTGCTCTTTCTAGAATCACCTTACTGTGCACCTGACTCTACCTAATCCTAACCAATCTTTTCCATCCCACTTTCTAAAATGAACATCCCAATCTCTTTTAAAATAAATACAAAAAATACTGATCAATAAGTATAAAAACCTTAAAATGGGGCAAAAAAAAAAAATTACACATAGGCCAAGAAGTCTACATTTGAGATAATACAGTTCATTACTGTAGTATCTTTGTAAAGCATGGAAATATACAGAAGCATTTTAAACATGGAGATTGCAAAAAGGTTTCCTCAAAATAAGCTGAGGTTGAGAAGAGTCAATTAAGAAAACTCCATAAAATGTAACTGTTAAATTCCTCTATTGGGAGTTTTTACCTAATGTGAGAGCCTACCTGAACACATTAAGGAGTCTTCTGAAAAACAGGACAATGTGATGAAAAAAAATTTTTGAAAAAGAAAACATCCAGTGCTATAAGTAGAAGACACCATAAAAAGAGGATAGAGAAAGGAAAGAAGAAGTAAAAAAGCTACAGCAGTAGTCTAGCATTTAGTTAAGGGATAAAAGCCAGGTCTAGGAGCAAGTCTGAGAAATTCAAGACCAAAGAGTAATTAGAATGCTTGGATGTAAATGAAGAAAAAAGAAACTGAGTTGTAATTCTTACAGAGGTTAGCAAAACTTTAAAGAAGGTAAATCAGAGAAATTTTTACATTTAATTGTTGGTGGTAGAATATCAAATTGGATTTGTAATTGAGAAGGAGATGGGAGGAAAGTGGAACTGCTAAATCATAGTTTAAGTCATTTAACCCCTTTTGACTGCTAATTCATGTCTGTAAAACTGAAAGATGTGGATTCAGTTAACATTCTTTTGTGCTTTGAAATTTAAGAGGATATGAAACAGGACTACTGAAAGGTTATGAGAACAAAAAGTGAAATGTGGTTATAAATGAAACTTACAGATAGGTAATATGAAAGGGGTACAAATATTTATGGATATTCCATATCTATATTTTCATCTTTATAGATAAATATAACTGCTGTCCTTCAGATCAGTATTACAGGTAAATAACATCTTTTAAAAAGTGGGTAAGTTTGTTCTTTAGAGGCTCTTAATGTCGTTGTACTTAAATTTGCACTAAGAAGAAAAAGAAGTTTCAGTCTGGCTGCTTTTCAAATTAATCTAAATGCCGAGTAGGGCACAACTGATAAAACCATATGGTATTTAGTCAGATCATTGCAAACTCTTTACAGCCATGACCATGAATTGCAAAGAGACCTCTGGGGATATCTTTGAGTTTAAAGTTTAAGTACAGAAGAAAAGCTTTTATAAAGAAATATATATAAATAATTAAAGAGTCAAAATAATACTCAAAAGTGATAAGAGAAGACAATGAGGATCCTATGCTTAATTTTTCAGAGATCAAATATCAAAATTCACAATAAGAATATCCTTCAGACATATGGAACAGATCTGAAGCAACTCTCTAGAAAGTCACAAGTTTGTGGCATATTCACAGCAGCAAAATCATATTATTTCCCTGAAAAATTGAGAATTTTTTTGGTGGACTAGTCCAATCCCATTGCTGATGACTATCTGTAAGAAACAGAGTGAAAATAAACCAAAAAAAAAACCATTCAAAACTCTTTCAGGGGAAAAAAAAACTGGATTTAACTGTATTCCTTCAGGAGCTAATACATTCTGATCATGCACATGCTTGACTTCAAAATGGGAGGATAATACCATGGCATCCTTAAAGTAATCCTACCCGATCTAAAGCTAATATAACCACTGGCTCTTCCTATCAATGTAAAAAGTATTCACATGCACAGAAACAACTGGAAAGCAAAAACCTCAAATATTAAGAATTGTTGCTTCTAGGGGCCAGCCCGGTGGCACACTGCTACAGTGCGCCGCTTGGGAGCGCAGCGGTGCTCCCGCCGAGGGTTCGGATCCCACATACAGACCGGTTTCCGCTCACTGGCTGAGCGAGGTGCGGGCGCAGCACTGAGGTTTGCGATCCCGTTGCCGGTCCCGGTCCGGTACAGGCGCAACACTGAGGGTTGCGATCCGTTGCCGGACACGAAAAAAGACAAAAAGAGAAAAAAAAAAAAAAAAAAAAAATTGTTGCTTCTGGTTATAATAACTATATTCTATTTTACAGCTTTTTTCTTAAGGTGATTATGTATTTTTCCAAAATTTGGATGAGTATTTTAAAAAGTCATTCCCATTAAAAGGAAAACTTTGTGATTCTGAAATTGTGAATTCTATTTTAGTTCAAAAACAATGCACCTAGAGTTAATTTAAAACTATTCGTCTAAATTATTTTTACCTTAAGACATGTAAAATCAACAGCACACTTCATGAAAAAAAATGTTAGTAATTTATCAGGTGAATATACAGCTAACCAAAATACTTTTACTTACTTCTTAAAATATCTTAAGAAAGAACAGATTTGTAATCTAAAAATCCTCTATTGAGAGAAGACTATGCAAGGAAAGTGGACACCCCATCACTACATTTGAGACATCAAACTAACATAAAAGATGGAAACTTACCTAAACATTTAAAAACAATTATATATCTTAAAATGTTTTCTCTATATACAATTGTCACAGTAGAAATAAAATCACTTTTAACCCATGAATTAAGTTAAATATACATATAATTAGAAGAAAAAAAAATATGTCCAACCATTTGTTTAACATGTATTTAACCAACTGTGTGCAAGGTATCATACTATGTGCTAAACATACAGTGGCAAAAGGAGACAAGATTCCTGTCTAAAATATGTCCAACCATTTGTTTAACATGTATTTAACCAACTATGTGCAAGGTATCATACTATGTGCTAAACATACAGTGGCAAAAGGAGACAAGATTCCTGTCTTTTTGAAGCTATACATTCCAGTGGGGGGGGACAAAAATAGTCAAATAATCAAACTATAAAATCAATATTTATGTATAGGAATTATATACTTAGGTACAAGAAGAGCTATAGGATTTTTATGGCAGACTATGATTAAGGGACCTAACCTAGTCTAGGGAGACAAGTAGGCAACCCTGTAGATGTGATGGGTCTAAAGTGAAAAACAGTAATTAATTACTTTTCTTTCCTTCTGACTTTAAGTTTCACTCCAAAATCTTTCAGAACTTTATCTAACTCTACTGAAACCAGTAATGCCGATATACATAACAATAAAAAGAGAAATGAAAGATTATATATTTTAAAATTTTAATTCTAATCAAAGGCAATTTTACCATAAGGAGTTTTAAAATCAACCAAGGGATAAAAAAATAAAATGCTTGTGTTAGGGGCAGGACTGGAGAATGCCACTGACTTTAATAGAAATATAAACTTTTACCTATCTTAAGATTAAGAATTTTATCCAATTAACAAATATAGCAATTCTATATGATGGTTACTTAATGAGTTTTTAAAAAAGTAATGACAGAGATGAAGAGAAAAAGAAAAAGTTCCTATTCAAAGTATAAAAAACAGACAAACACAAATATAGGCCAGATGTCCCAAGACACCAAACAATACACACATAAAATAATTGCTGTGTGGTAACACTTCTATCCTGTGACCATTCACTGTCATCAAAGATTTTTTAAAACATGTTCAATTTTTGTAACTATTTGTAAAAACTATGTGCTAGATGATATTAGGTAAAGCCCAAGAAGATCCCTAATTGTGACATAAGTGAATCACATCAATTAAGAAAAAAACATGGTAAGTATAATCACAAAATATATCGTTAAATAAATTTTCAGTTCAGATTGTAAATAACAGTGCTGTTGAAATTTGAATGAACATTAACAGTTCCACAACAGTTTTTAAAAACAATTTAGATTATATAGTATACAATTTATAAATATAAAATTGACCCTTGAACAATACAGGTTTGAAATGCACTGGTACACTTACTTGCAGATTTTTTAATGCTCTTAACAGCACTTTCTTTTCTCTAGCTTACTTTATGGTAAGAATACTGTATATAATACATATAACATACAAAACATGTATAAATGGACCATTTACTTTATTGGTAAGGCGTCCGAAGGGCAACTATTCATAGTTAAGTTTGGGAAGAGTCAAAAGTTTACAGGGATTTTCGACTATAAGAGAGGCTGTGCCTCTAACTCCCATGTTGTTCAAGGGTCAACTGTAGTAGCCTCAAATAATACAAAAATAATGACAATCTGCTAAAAATGGTCTTCAAAACACAGACCTAAAATATATGGTCTTTGAAACAAGATCTAAGAAATATGCATGTTAATGTTCTATTAATGTAAATTGAAAACAAATGAATATGTGATAAGCTTTATTTATGCTGTATTTATACTTTATACTCCTACTTGGTATCAGTAGGATCTTCTTATAAACTTTCAAAGGCAAGAGCTCTGTTAGATAAGAGATGAGGTAAGGCTAGACTCCTGTCCATCTTCTCTTATACGAATGTATACTTTAAAATAGCTGATTATGAGATTTGTTTTTCTCCATGTCCACTTTACCTTACTCAATACATCAATCGCAGGACATATTATTTAAGGTATAACTTAGATCATAAATCAAGAACTATGAAATATTAACAGCAAAACTTCGTACAAAGATTTATATAATAACTAGCATTTAAAACACCGATATATAAGGTGACTTAACCAAGAACTCACTGTTATAACCATCCTAAAAATCTACTATTGGTCAAAGACGAATCCTCCTGTAAGGTGTTAAAATCTCTCATGTAGATTTCTCATGCCCAGATGCATTTCAGTGAGGTTAGAAGCCAGAGTTTATTTTATGTCATTTTAGAAGAAAACTATCTGCCAATGAATGTGTACATCTGAGCAACACAACTAAGATCTCTGGGTCTATGTTCTTACTTCTAGTTGGAACAGCTATAAGTTATTTTTCAGCTTTAAAATTCTATTTTATGAAGTCATAACATTAAAACAAATGAACAAAACTTTGAGTGCCTAATATATACAAAGATAGAAAGACACAGAAATGGTCATATTTAATCCTATTTGAAAGCACTATAAACATCCTACTTTGTAAAAGAAAGCAGCAGAAATGAAGAAAATAACTAAAATGGGATTTTAAAAAATGGTTACTATGTCAGAATTTGAATTTTCTTTTATTTCCCCTTATTTTTAATAATATTACTTTTTCCTAAAAATCCAAAGTCTAATAAAAATTGACAGTTTATATGAGATAGAAAAGAACAAATGGGATGCCCCAAACTATTGCTCTTAATAACTTTTAAAATGGTGAAATCAGTCAATACAGTGGTTTTATAGATGAGATGTATAAGGGATCCTCCATGTTCATTACAAATTGTTAATAAGCTTTTCTTTAAGTTACAATAGAAATGATACTTAAAATTACAGGGAATAAACTTCATTAACAATATATTTTGAAAATGTCTTTCCAAAGGCAAATCAATTTAAAAAAAGACATAAATAAATTCAAAACATATTTCCATATTTTCAAAAATCATAAACTTCTGTTCCACATATTATCTTCTGAAATTATTCAATTCACTTCAGGACTTACAAAACTAAAATACTATAGCACATAAACTAACCTTACATAGGGTACAGGGTCATTTTGAATCATATTAAGCAGCCACTGCAGTTCTTCATAACTCCTGTCCACTGAAAATAAAAATAAGTAAATAAATTTGTTGTTAATTATAACAAACTAAAAAACAAGTGACAAGCAGGATGTTTACACTTCATACATGGGGCTCTGCCTTAGCTGAATTTCCAATCAGAGTTGAAGGCTATAGGCAAACACATTTTCTTACATTTTTTATGCAGTGGGTCCCATTGTAACTTTTATAAGTATCATGCTATATGTAGCCAAGACATAAAATAGCACCAAGTGCATATTTTTTTTACTAAAGCTGAAATGAAACCAATGGCAGACACAATATAAAGCAAATTATAATTTATTAAGAACCCTGAAGCAGAGATGATTAACTCTAACTGGACAAAATTTGTTTAAATAAATAGTGTTTCTAGATACTTACAGAGAGGTTTGATAACCAATGGTATATCAACTATATTATACAGAACGGTCAACTGTTTTTCCCACATGGTTTCTTCCATTTAAGACTAAATAGCAGTCTTAACTTTTCAGCATAATGTAAAAGGCAATTACAAACAAAGTGCTATGAACATAATTGACATAAAATGATTCATTAGCTATTTCCATTCACCTTTTCAACAAGTTCTGCTTTTATGATTTGAAAGGTTTTGTTTTCAGTATTCCAATATTTTTCATTTCTTTCATTTTCTAATTTGAGCACCAATATTTAAATTTACGATTTAACAATGAAGTCTGGATTCATGATTCACATTTAAATATCAGTCAATTAAATTATACTAATTAGTTTAGCATTCTTTTGGAAACCATCAGTTAACATTCTATTTCATTTTAGGTAGTTCTAATTCATAAAATTTTCTTCATATTTATGAGACATTAAACATCATTCATATATCTTTCAAAAAAGGAGGTTGGGAATATTTGGTGGATCTTAAGACTTCTAGATTTCACGTACTGGTAAAACGTCAAAACAGAAATGGAGACTGATTTGGGATTACATTTTCTTGCCAAGAAATTCATTTAACAACAAAAAATCACTATTTTCACCATCATTTATTTTAAAAAGGATATTTTATTTTAATCTTCAATATGAAAAAACAAATGGCAGTCCTTTCTGAACCTAGGCTAACATATATCATATATACATTATATTGTTATTATCCTTTTCTCTACTTTCTGAGGTAACAAGTATTTCTATTGTAATTTATTTTAAAAATTGCAAAGATTTGAGGACACTTTGCTTTAGCTAACATTTAAAATTGCAAAGATTTCAGTATACTTTCCTCTAGTTAACATTTAAAAATGATCTAGTATCTACTGAAGAATTTCCCTCACCCCTTCCTCTCTTCCCACAGTCAGATGAGAAGTATAGCATACTTTAAAATTCTTTACTTTTCCCATATTTTAGTGCTATAATCTAGATTTTAGATACAGATTATGTTTACATATTCCTTTAACTTGCAAAATTATTTTTAAAGAATTATTTTTGAAATGTGTATTAAATTTTATAATCAGTTTAACAAATATTTAACCTTAACTCTTTAATTTACAGGCTTAATTACTCATCACTAGTTCTTTCATTCCATACTTTCACCAATCTTGAGTTATTTCAATCGACATGCAGATCAGCTGAAAATTATCTTTCGGAGTTTTGCTTTTAAGGATGTTACATAGGAGATGTACTTCTAATTCTCAAAGTCTATATTAGTAACAACTTGGCAAGGTACAGAATCTTAGATCATAAATTTCCCTAAAAATGACATAGCCATTAGTTCTGTCTTTTGACTCTACATATTCTGAAGAACTCAGGAGCCACACTATTCTATTACCTTGTACAATAACCTGGTTCCAATATTCATAGGAACTTACATGATTCTCTTCAACCTTAAAAATTAAAATTTCACCTGAATCTAGCTTAGGTCAGTTTCATTTACACCCCTTCAGAGTACTGTATTATTTTTTAGATTACTGCTTTTCTTCTACCTGCTCTATTCTTGATGACTCTCTCTTTTTTTTTTTTTTTTCACATTTTCATTTCTTTATCTTTCTCCTCTGAATTTCTGAAAATGTTCTGAATATGTATTATCTTATTCAATTTTTGGCCTTACTTATGTTTTTTCCAACTTCATGAAGACTTGTCTAATCCTCCTACTGAAGTTCCTTTTTATGTCTCTTGCTCTATTTTCACAGAAACAAATTTTTACATAGGGATAAGGTGTTTTCTTAATCCTTCTTAGAAATTTCCCCAAAATATCCTATTTCTTAAAATAACATGCAATTAAAGCCATATAGAATGATATAATGACTTCTCAGAAAAGCCAAAGATATCTATAATTTTATTTTTTTCTCTCATTTATTTATTTATATGCATTCTACATTTCCCAAAATTTATTTCTAAATCAATGAGTCAAGAATTTAAAATTAAAATATCTGTATTGTACATACTGTGAAAACCCCAATACCTAAGATTAACTTTGATAAGTAAGTATTTCTTCCGAAAATGATATGAGCATCATTCTTAAGGCATTACCTTTAGTATAATCAACAACTGCTTCCAAAGCTGCTATCCTAATGTCTACAAAGTGGCCATATTCAGCATAAGATTTAAAAAGAGCCGGATCGCTTGGCACATGTCCATTCTTCTGAAGTACCCGTATGGCTCTCAAACAACTAGGGAAAAAAAAAGTATTTAGGTTAACTACTTTCACTGAGGTATGTATGAATCAAATTTGTTTCCAAGGTATTATAGATTCATTCGTGGCAATAAATGAGAAAACTGATGTGATTTTAAATTAACCTTCAGTTTTGTAATATTAAATTTTTGCAATGATGACAAAAACTCAAAATTAATATAATGTCTAAAACCTACTAAAAGAAAGCAAATTTCAAAATTTGTTTGGAAACTCAAAGTTTTAAGCATCAGTATATTTATAACGGGAATACTCTTCAGAAAAAAGCACTCAAAATAAAACATAATTTTTAAAAAGTATTTTCTTGGTAATATAGTTTGTTTATTCACTATATATATAGAAGGTTAAAACTCATGTGTAGATAGGTAATCAACTTTTAGAAACTTCTAAAGAAATAAGCAAAACTTTATGGTAGCCATATACAAAGAAGTTGAGTATCCTTTATCCAAAATGCTTGAGACCAGACGTGTTTTGGATTTCAATTTTTTTTAAATTTTGGAATACATACCGGGTTAAGCATCCCTAATCGGAAAACCGAAAATCCAAAATGCTCCAATGAGCATTTCCTTTAAGCGTCATGTCAGCACTTGAAAAGTTTCAGATTTTGGAGCATTTTGGATTTTGGAGTTTTGGAATAGGGATACTCAAACTGTGGAACTAAAGTCATCTTAGAAGGCTAACAATAGAGGGATGTTTATGCTACATACAATGGAAACATCAAAAATAATGCTTATGAAGATTTCTCTTGACATGAGAAAGTGTTTATAATATAAACAATAGAAAAACTATATATAGGGCCGGCCCGGTGGCCAACTGGATAGTGCGCCGCTTGGGAAGCGCGGTGGCGCTCCCGTCCGAGGGTTCGGATCCCATATACAGACCGGTTCCCGCTCACTGGCTGAGCGAGGCGCGGGAGCAACACCGAGGCTTGCGATCCCGTTGCCGGTCCCCGGTCCGGTACGGGGGCAACACTGAGGGTTGCGATCCGTTGCCGGACACGGAAAAAAGACAAAAAAAGACAAAAAAAAAAAAAGAAAAACTATATATACAATATAATCTAAAGTAATTAAAGATTTATATAGCTACAGAGGGAAAAACTTTAGAAGGACATTTTCAAAATACAGTTGGCTCTCCCATATCCCTGGGTCCCACACCCATGGATTCAACCAAAGGTATATGAAAAACACAAATATTCAAAAACAAAACATTGGATGGTTGCATCTGTACTAAACATGTACAGACTGTTTTTTCTTCCCATTATCCCTAACCAACACAGTATAACAACTATTTATATAGCATTTACATTGTACTGGGTATTATAAGTAACCTAGAGAAGTACACAGGAGAATGTGCATAGGTTTTACGCAAATACCACGCGATTTTATATAAGGGACATGAGCATCCATGGATACCGAGGGACAAGTGTATTAACAATGCATCTGTAGATAGTAGAATCACAGAGAATTTTAATTTCTCCTTTTATTTTACTGTATTTCCCAATTTTCTATAATGGAATAAACTTCTTTTAAAGTTAGAAAAACAAATAACTTTTTTTAAAAAGTAAAGAATTTAATCAAACCTGACAGTAATGGTATGTCTATAACTTGGAAGAAGTTTTTCCATATTCAAAAACCTGGTGATTTCTTCAAGAATGAGTCGTACATCAGGATTTAAGTTATCCAAAGTTCTAACTTCATTATTCACACTGACTGCAGGTGTAACAGAGTTGGCCAGGGCATCAATCATTTCTGCACGATAATAGTTATCTGAAAACTAAGACAGAGAATAATTAAAAGAAGATAAATTTCAATCTTCTGATCAAAAATTAATAAAATATGTATAACTTAAAAACAATTTATCTGAAAACATAAGCAGTTCTCTGGTAAATATTCAACTCTGCCCTTTGCATAGAGTTACACTTTGGAAAACAGTGAAAGAGATTCCCTAGTCAGTGATACATTAGTTTACTGAATTAAAATATTCACTATGTGTAAGGTACTCTTATAGTAACCTAGCCAGATTCCTCTAAAAGGAGACCACAGTCTACAAGTCCTGCTGTAATACAGAACTTAAAATCAGCTATTTAATGCTCTAGTTTAATATATAAACATACAACCAAAGATCACTAGATATTTGAGGAAAGTATCAACATTAAAAATAGAGATCAGAGCATTAAAAATAAGCAACTTGGAAGAAATAAAGAAAGCAAGAAAAAGAAAACCAGTAATGTACAAAAAAATTCAAAAAGTATCATTAATGTTGTCTGAGAAATAACCAATGATATGCCTTCCAATAGCAAAACATTTTAAAAAGAAACAAAAAATTTTTTAAAAGAAATAAAAATAAAAACAAATAGAGAAATAAGAATCAAAATTAAATTGGATTATAAAATTTAAGAAATCTCCCAAAATTTTGAGCAAAAAGACAGAGACAGAAAATAGAAGAGAAACCATAAGAACACGGGAGGGCTGGTATAGGAGACATAAAAATAATAGGAGCTCTAGCCAGAGAAACAGAGAAAATAGAGAAGAAAACTACAAAAAAAAAAAAAAAAAAAAAAAAAAAAAAAACAAACCAAAGCAAAGCAAACCAAACAAAACAAAACAAAAACTATATCCATATCCCAGTCAATTCCCAGAGAAATAATTTATTGGGGTATGACTTGATTTAAATCAGAAGCAAATCAGATGCTCTAACCTGGGAATATGAACATGGAGCAATTAAATTAATTCTATCTGAAGTGTTGGTAGTGTTCTGTGGCAACACAAACTTCCAGGGGACTGAAAGAGAAATACCTGCCTTCTTTTGACTTCCACTACAGAGGCAGAACCTCACACTGACACATATAATGCAGAGTCCCTAAACTTTTCTATGTTCAGATACGGGGCGGGGGGGAAGCACTTCACAACAAGAACACAAACTCAAAGAAAAACTATGCCAAAAGTGCTCACTATGGATCAAGTTTTGTTTTCAGACCATTCTAATGACCTAAAAATTAATCTCTACAACTTCAGTTTCACTAGGCCTAGTTCTTCCCTCCAGAGCAACAGAGAATGATCATGTTTTTTTTAAATCATTCTAATTTTATTTTAATGTAGTTGCACTTATCAACATTTTCTTCCATGATTTCTGAGTTTTGTTTCACACCATTCAAAGATTATTCAAATTATATTTACAGGTTTTCTTTTAATACTTTTACAATTTCATTGTTTTCTCTAATAACTACTTTACCAACAAAACACGAGCCCATTTTTTCAGACCTAAGCATTCAGATCAGAGACTGAACTCAGAAATGAAAAATGAAAAGTACATTTCAGTGAAGTAGGGAAACCAAAAGATTTAATACTAACCCTCAGACCACATCCAATTCTCACAAAAACTATAGTGGTAATTGAACAAGCTAGATTATCTGATCACCCCTTGGTTATAAGAGATAAAGTGAAGAAGTAATTTATGGAACACAGCCAAGGAGGGCCATTTAGCACAGCAAAAATTTCTACAAAAAAACAGTATCAATGTACTGCAGCAAAGAATGACTGATTTTTGTAACAATGATCACTTGGTATCAGTAAGAATTCATCCCATGTTCTGCATACCTTGTTTAAGAAGGTAGAGAAACTTCATATGCATGTATATTATTTACTAGAAATTTTTGTTATGTATAAAATATTTTCATATAAAATAGCTAAAAACTAGGTTTAAAAGGAATTAAGTTTTTTTTTTTTTCCTTTTTGTCTTTTTTCGTGTCCGGCAACGGATCGCAACCCTCAGTGTCGCACCCGTACCGGACCAGGACCGGCAACGGGATTGCAACCCTCGGTGTTGCGCCCGCACCTCACTCAGCCAGTGAGCGGGAACCAGTCTGTATGTGGGATCTGAACCCTCGGCGGGAGCGCCACCGCGCTCCCAAGCGGCGCACTGTAGCAGTGCGCCACCGGGCCGGCCCCAGAATTAAGTTTTAATCTTCTTGAAAACTAACTCACACACAATATTGAACTTCATACTCCTGCCCAATTAATGAGATGTCAAAAATATTCTCCCTAAGTCCTAACTTCTTTTGGGGACTTAGCTTTTTATATTCCTAACTTAATTTTATTGTAGAAAATCTGAGAAAGTTCTCCTCATGTACTTAAAAAACTCTGCATCTATGTGTGAATCTTTTTGTCTCTTCAAAGACTAGTTATCTGTGATTGGAAGTGAGCTACTTAAAAATAAACAACTGATAATCCATCTGATAAAATATTCTTAGGCACCTACCCAATCACATCTTTTTTGCTAGTTAAAATTCATTAACCTGTGAGTCTTTAAATGATAATACAACTTCTTTCTCCTAACCAAAATTTTTAAGAGAATAAGTTTTGATAACAGACACATCTAGGTTTGACTTCTGGCCCTCCCATACTATGTGACTTTGGATAACTCTCTTAATCTTTATAAACCTCAATCTCATCACATAGAAATTGGGATTATAATAGTATCTATTTCAGAGGTCTGATGTGGATCATATCAGATTATCTATGTTTTAGCACAGGCCATGGAACACACAAGAAATTAGCTATTTTTATTGTTACTGTTATTTGCGAATTTATGCTCTTCTTAGTATCCTCAAGGACTAAAATATACACTAGTGTTCTGAAACTATAATCTATCAGTGTGTGCCTCATGAAATTATAAATGATGACAGGCAAAATGACATGGCATAAAGCAGCATGGCACACAAAAAAAGGTCACCACACAAGTGGGTGGCACAAGCTCACATCACAATTCCCAGATTATACTTTCTGTGTAATTTTAGACTCTCAATCTATGTCTTACTTTCACTTGTCCAACAAGAGATGACAAACATCTTCAACCACAGAAATAGGTAAGTTTCAAGGGAATTAAAGTAAGTGAAATCACTGTGCAAAGCAGAAAGTACTATAAAGGTGTTAAATTAGATAAACACTCCCCAAAACAAAGGAACTGACATAAATATTGTACAAGTATAAAATATATTCCTATTGTATTTGAATATAATCTGATTAGGCACCATCATAAATTCTAATTTCTTCAAATAAAAGAAATTCATGTGTAAAGGAAGAAAGAATTACCTTAAATTAAGGCCAAAACAAACCATTACACTACGAAGAATCTTTGAAAAATGTTTTCAATTAATACTTTATTCAAAAGTATGTCTTTTAGGTCAATAAGGCACTAACCAGGCCAAGTAAATCAGTTGTCAAAGAAAATAAAATATCCGGTGATTAAGAAGAAGTTTAAGTCTAATTTCTCTCCATCATTTTATTTTTGCTATTACTCTACCTTCAAATCAGTAACTAGTTACCTGAATGTAATAAATTCTGTGGCTTTCTGACTAAAGGAGATAAGCTAAGTATTTCCTAATTCAGATAACGGTTCAGAAAGTGACTGAGACACGTAGATGCAATTAAATGACTATATAGGCATCCACTATTTGTTAAATGGTTCTGGAGATACAGAGATGAGTTCTTGAAGAACTATTTATATTGGCAAGCAAAATAGAAAAAAGTAAGAGTAAGAATAGAGGTAATCAAATTGTTCCAGGAGTAAAAGAAAAGAATAATGTATCCCATCAGAAAGATATATTGATGTTGGAAAAACAAGGAGTATTTTTAATGCATAGAGAAAAGAAAAAGGCATCCCTTGGTTTAAAGATACATTAATAAAAGTACAAGAAGTAATGAAAATACATCATGTGTTAAAGGAAGAGAAAAGTTACTGATGCAGCTTCAGGGTAGAGGGATATAAAGTTGGAGGGATAGGTTGAGACCAAACTGTGACGGGCTTTGAATACCACACAAAAATTAATTTAATCTACAAGCGCTGGAGAATCTTTGAAGATTTTTAAAGAGGGAAGAAAATGAGGTGAGCTCCATTATGAAGATCATTTCAGTTTTACTATTAAAAACTATAAGAAGAAAGACATTAGGAAATTAAGTTAGGAATAATTATGATCTTGCAGATGCTGACAATAGAAAATAGGTAATTCTAGGCATTCTTCTCAGTACTTTATATATGTTACCTTGTATAATCCCCACAAAAACCTTATGAGGAAGATGTACTATTTATTAACACTCTTGTGTTTAATACATTAAGAAACTGACACACTGAGATTAAGTAATTTGCTTAATCTTTATTTTAATAGTAGAGGAAAAAATAAAGACCTAGCCTTAGGACAGCTGAAATAGAAAAGAAGGTGCAATATGAAAGAGATTGAAAATAAATTCTCCCATTCTGCAGGTTGTCTCTTTGCTGTTTGTTTCCTTTGCTGTACAGAAGCTTTTTAGTTTGATAACATACCATTTGTTTATTTTTGCTTTTGTTGTCTTATTTGTGCTTTTGAGGTCTTATTCATAAAAATCTTTGCCCAGTCCTATGTCTTGGAGCATTTCTTCTGTGTTTTCATCACGAAGTTTTTTAGTTTCAGTTCTTAGAAAGTCTTTAATCCATTTTGAGTTCATTATGGTATATAGTGAGAGACAGGGGTCTAGCTTCATTCTTCTACACATGGATATCCAGTTTTCCCACCATTGCTGAAGAGGCTGTCCTTTCCCCAGTGTATGTTTATGGCACCCTTGTCAAAGATCAGTTGACTGTTAAGAATGTGGATTTATCTCTGGGTTCTCTATTCTGTTCCATTGGTCAATGTATCTGTTTTTATGCCAGCATCATGCTGTTTTGGTTACTATAGCTTTGTAGTATATTTTGAAGTCAGGTAGTTTAATGCCTCCCACTTTACTCTTTTTGCTCAGGAT